CTCCTTTTCCCCTTTTCCTGGCTGCATATGTTTCCTCGCGGCACAGACGGGAATTTTCCACACACGCCACCCTGACGTCGTTTTCTGTGTCGTTTCCACCTCAGGCAAGTGGCACCAGGGCCTCAGCTGCGCGTCCGCGTCGGATCTCTGCCACCACCCCCTGAACCACGGGTTCGAGTACTTCTACGGAATGCCCTTCACGCTGGTCAACGACTGCCACCCCGACCGGCCCCCCGAGGTGGACGCGGCCACCCGTGCGAAGCTGGTGCGGTGCACGCAGGTCCTGGCCTGGGGGGTCGCGACGCTGATGGTGGCCAGGCTGTGCGGCCTGGTGTCCACGTCCCAGAAGGCGCTGGTGGGCCTGGCCGGCCTGGTCCTGCTGTTCTTCCTCACCTGGTTCGCCAGCTTCGGCTTCGTGCGCCGCTGGAACTGCATCGTCATGCGCAACCGTGACGTCACGGAGCAGCCCCTGGCGCTGGAGCGAGCGGCTGGCCTCATGCGCAGGGAGGCGGTGTCCTTTATCCAGAGGTAAACCCCGTGTTCCCATTCGTGTGTTGACCTGTTGCATCGCTATGACGCAATCCATGGGCGAATAAAGTCATACACAAGGAAGGTCAGTGCGGGGCAGGGTTTGAGGAGGGCTAGCCTGAGGTCACTGGGCTGCAGGGCTCTGGGCCTGTGGTGGCGCAGAGCATCGTGGGAGCACGGGATGGAGCAGAGCTGCTGACCTCACGGTGCACAGGAAGTTTACACTGGAGATGGGGTTCCGGTGTCCCCTTCCGGGACACGCCCCTATGACGCCACTTCCACTAGACCCCCCCCACCTCCCAGTGTCCCACTGAGCTCTGAATCCATCCCTGGATAAACCCACTAATGACATCAGAGTCCTCATGATGCAATCACCTCCCAAACGTCCCCATCAGTGGGGACCGAACCCGCCAAAAAAACACCATCTTAGGAATATTATATACCAAAGAAAAGCGAGGCAGAAGACACTGGGGTCCCAGCGTCTCCTTCCAGGACACGCCCCCGATGACATCACTTCCTCCCACCAGTCCCCGCCTCCTAATTTCCCCCACCTTTCAATATCCCACTGAGCTATGAACCATCCTTGGATGAACCCACTGATGATGTCAGAGCCCTCATGATGCAATCAGCTCCTAAAGGCCCCAGCAGTGGGGACCAAGCCTGCCACAATCAGCCTTTGAGGAATACTACATAGGTCAGAAAACTGAGATAGAAGAGACTGGCCCCTTCAAGGACACGCCCCAGTGACGTCACTTCCTCCCACTGGTCCCTACTCTGTCCTTCTGACTCTGTGCAGCACCCCAGCCACGGTGTTCAAGTCCCAGCACCCGAGAAGCACCCGAGAGGCACCCGAGAAGTATCTGAGGGGCAGAGGGATGTCTGTGA